AACAGTGAAGTTCTAAGGAGAAAAGAGGGCTTTATTTTTTATTTATTCTTTATTTTCTAATCAAAGAAACACATAGAAATTTTAAAAAATGTAGGGTAAACTTACCCAATGTCCGTTTCCTGTAAACAAAATACTCTTTTTTTTTTTTTTTTTTAATTTCTCCCAGTCTTTCATTTAGGAAAAGTTTTCATTCTCTCCCCTTCCCCCTTTTTTTTGTAAATCTTGTGATCTAACTGCTGTTTAAAAGTTTGTGTTTTTGTAATGGTCTTTCCATTCTTAAATTTGTACTTGATAATTATTAAGAGTTAAGGTAGATAAATAGACAAATTGAAAAACTTACACTCAGAGTTCAAGCTCTCTCCCTCACTAGCTGTGTGACCTCTGGCAAATTACTTACTTTCCTTACTTGTAAAATAGGGATGTTAATAGTTTAATTTCATGTGGTGATTCTTTTAGAAATAATACATGTAAATCCCCTGTCCAATAGTAAGTGTAGACTCCATTTAACTGTTAGGTTGTCCAAAAATTCTTTCAAATTATATTTACTGTTCCACCAAGCAGTGAATTTTTAAAATTTATTAAACATTTTTTTGACATATACCTTATTTCCGATTTTCACTATTACGGATACTGCATCTTTGCCCACCATTTAATTTATGAAACTTTTCATAATGAAATGGAATTTTTGAGTAAAAGAATAAAGAATTTATATCTTTTTTATATATTACTAAGTATATATTACTAAGTTACTTTCTAAAATAATTTTCCAGTTATTATTCTGACCAAGTGTGTGTAATTTATATCCTTACCAGCAGTGTTCCCTGACAAAAGTGGATATTTAGATCTGTTTTTATTTTTTTTAAAGTAAAAATTATATCTAACAGCTTTAATTTGAATTTATTTAATTCACTAGTGAAATCAGACTTACTTGTTTTAACGTTACTCTTTTCTGTTTTATGGATTGTCTGTATCCTTTGCTGATGTATTTATTTGGGTCTCAGAGTTTTTTTGTGTCAGCTGGATCTTGGCTGAAAGCAAAGAATTCCAGAAAGATGTTTATTTGTGTTTTATTGACTATGCAAAAGCATGTGGTTGTGTGGATCATAACAAATTACGGATAACATTGCAAAGGATGGGAATTCCCGAGCACTTAATTGTGCTTATGAGAACCAAGAGACTGTTGTTAGAACAGAATAAGGAAATAATGCATAGTTTAAAGTCAAGAAAGGTGTATCAGACTTGTATCCTTTCACCATACTTAATTCAGTCTGTGTACTGAGCAAATAATCTGAGAAGCTGGACTATATGTGGAAGAATGCAGCATCAGGATTGGAGGAAGACTCATTAACAACCTGTTATATACAGATGATACAATGTGTAGATGAAACTTAAAGACTACAGTCTTCAGTATGGATTACACCTCAACATAAAGAAAACAAAAATCCTCACAGCTGGACCAATAAGAAACATCACAATAAATGGAGACAAGACTGAAGTTGTAGGGATTTCATTTTATTTGGATCCATAATCAACACCCGTGGAAGCAACAGTCAAGAAATTAGATGTCATACTGTGTTGGGCAAATCTGCAAAAGACCTCTTTAAAGTGTTAAGAATCAAAGATGTCACTTTGAAGACTAAGGTATGTCTAGC